AAGCAAATAAAGAACTAATTGAAGAAAATAAAAACTTAAAAAAACAATTTGCCGATAAAGAAGAAAATCTTAAGTGAATTATCTGACAAACATCTGATGGTGAACCTCACTTAGAAAATAATACATATGATTATTCTTCTGGTTATTGATAATACAAGAAACTAAATCAAAAATTACTAGATGAAGGTAAAGTTACTTATGGAATAGATCCTAACGAAACTAGAGAATAAGCTAAAGGTCATGAAAGACTTTGATTTGATAATGTCAATGTTGAAGAAATGTTAAAAGACTTTTGTGATAGTTCAAAAGAATTAGCTACAAGTTGTTCTAGTTATATTTCAAATTAAAGTAAAAGAGGTTATCAGCTTACTGAACAAAAGAGAGAGTATAAAAAGAAAATAGCAGAATTGAATAAGTATAAAGAACAAGTTGAAGATTTAGAAAAAAAACTTACAGAAATTTTGTTAGTTTGACATGAGGAGTAAGAAGAAATTAACAATGTTTCTTGAGAAGATCAATTTCATAACTGAGACTTAGGAGAATTAAAAAATTTAACAAGCAGAACAGAGAAAGAATTAAATAAAGTTGTCTTTAAAGTCATTGAAAAATTAGAACAAAGTTCTAAGACCTAGCTGAAGCAATAAATAAGGCTGAAGAATGAAAAAACTGACAAAAAGTTCTTTTGAATGATGAAATCAAACAAAAATCACTAATGCTACAAAAATCTGATAAAATGCTTGAAGAGAAGGTAACAAAAAATACAAAACTACAAGAGGAGTCAGAAGAGAAATCAAAAATGTTAGCAAGAAGTGAGGAAAGAGAGAAAGAACTAAATAGACAACTTTATTTAGAAAGAAAACCCTTGCCTGCTTTACCTAAAAAACAAAATACTTTCCAAAAATTAGGTTCAAGAATTAAGATCAAATTCCAAAAACTTCAACACTTGATGGAAAATAAAAAACATCAAGTCTGAGAATTTACCGTTTGAATAGAAGTAAAAGTTAATTAGTATATTTTACTATTATGAGAGAATTACTTTACACTATTTTGGAGTTAGAAGAATGATATAGCAGTAATTCTACTTGTGTTTTTTGCTCTGGTTTGAAAAAGGCAGTTTGTCAAATAAGAACACGAAGCAAGGCAACTGGCAAAATGATTGAAAGTGATAAGGCTTGTGAAAGTTGTAAAGAAAAGTTTAAAAATGATGAATTGCCTAAATGTAGTTGTAGAAGATTAAAGACTAGATACACTTGTGATTGTAAAGAAGAAGAGAATAAAAAAGAACTCCCTCTTTTATCTCATCAAAATGGAGGAATAGCATTTTTTTACGAACAACAAATAAATTCTTTACAAGAACAACTAACTGAGACTGAAGAGGTACTAGAAGTTGAAAGAGAAGAAGTAGTCAAATTTTAAGAAAAATCTGAGGAGTGAGGCAAATGACAAAAATAAGA